ACTGTTTAACATTAAGGTAATCTGATCAAAATGCCTGTTTCAGGAGAGGGCAGGCTCCTCCCTCCACTTAAATCATATTCCCAATACATTTAACCCAGTGAAGCAGGAAGGACAGCAGGGATTTCCTGACATCTGACAGTCACAACACCAGCTTCAGGGGTACAGGATCCCAGGGTGCAAGCAGTAACCAAACGAGGTGGTGCATATCCAGCTGGATGTGCTCACAGAGCAAGGTCAGAGTGGAGTATCACAGCACAAAGAGCACACAAGAGATTCTTAGGCCAACATTTGGGGGCAGGAACAATTCAGCTGGAGAGTTTTAACATCAAAGAGGTTTAACACGTAGCTGTCAGGTAATTATAACTCTGAAGGATCACTCAAGTGCTTGAATCTGGGAATGCCAGAAAACAAGTGCTGTCTGCCAAGTTTAAACGTGGTGAGGGAGAAACCAGTTTGTAAGTGCCATAAAACAGTCTAACTCAAAGGAGACCCTTAAGAGTAATGACTTTGAATCCACCCCTAGGATAGCTGGACATAAAGCCCCCTTTGTGAGCCTGGGGAGGACACAATAGAAGGGTCAGCCTCAGTACTTACATCCTCCAGGGGAGTAATGGATGCACTTTCCCCTCCATAGTAGGAGTTCCGATCCATGTGAAGGACTTTCTTTCCATTCACTGACATGATCCCGGAGAGGATGCATTCCTATGTAGAGAGGGAAGGATGAAAGGGCTGCGTTAGCTGCATTGGAGCTTCCTTCCATGTTTCCTAAAGATGCTTGTTCAGACAACCTGCTGCATGCCTGGATTTGAAGGTCCCTGCGCAGCCCTTGGAAAACAAACACAGCAGTTGCCTCACTGTAGAATTAGGAGGTGCTGAAAGACTTGTCTGAGACAGATTAACCCTTCACGAGGCTCGTGTCTGCTCTGGGCACACCAACCATGGTGGCGTAATACACAACCACCTATATATAATATAATACATATAATGTAATACACCTGTCAGGGCTCCCCTGGGGAAGTTCCTGGGAAATTCATGTATTTGGGACTGAATAGGAAAATCTACACTCCTAAACCCCCAGTTATCAGTTTAAGAATGCCACAGAGAGGCAGCACCTTCATTTATGAGTGACAGCAAGAGCATGAAATGTTACCTGGACTATAATTAAGTCTCCTCAAAACCTCAATCATTGCCACACTGGGAAACAAGAGAGAGTCAACAGCTACTCTTAGAGGGTAGAGGTAGCACCAAGACTAAATGAAGCCATTTGGGAGTTTTATCATGTCAACACACACTTTGCTGCCCTCACTAGGTACCCGCTGAGATGAGTAATACTCAGAGATTACTCTGAGCAGCAGATCAGAGTCCAAATGCAAACACCAAGACTAACCACAGAGGGATGCACGTTGTAGCTTGCAAAACCAGCTCAGGACCTGCATGGCTAAATCCACATTAAAGCACAACTTCGCAACTAACCCGGTCACCAGCCCTGGCATTCCCAAGCCAAAGAGCTTAATAAACACTTGAATACTTGTGTGCTTGGCTCTGCTTATCGAGGAGGTTTTACTGATCTTACTCTGCCTCAACTCGCACCAACAGCAGAATTACATCTGCAGTTGACCATCAACATCATCTGACTTGTAGGTCCTGGTCACATCTCATGTTTTCTTTCATTCAGGTGTAAAACCCACATCCAGCTGCTGAGAGATGCCACCACTGCACATCTGCTCACCCAGGAGCAGAGGATCCATTCATTCATCCAGGAGAACCAGCACATTGACCCTCCTGGCAGAGATCTGCATCTCTGAGATCCTTCATGTTCACTCCACGTGCATTTTGCCCCATAGAGTGCTCAGGACTCTCCTTGTGTGTCACTTCCCCCCTGCCACATCTACGAGGCTTATTTCAAAGTACATTACAACACAGTATGGGTCAGTGGACTCAGCCAAACCACAGCCACGACACAAGGAGTCTCCCACCAATCTGTTTACATGACTTGCAAATCCCAACACTGGTAAATCCTCCATCTAAAGGAAGTTTTTAAAACCATCTTCAACTTCACCAGCCAAGGACCAACCCACGGTTAAAGGCAGCTTTCAGGAGGGGTTATTTAGTTCTGAAGTGTCTCAAAGCATGTAGGTGCATGAATGGCTGGCAGGATCCCTGGTGTGAGGATTCAGTGGTGTTGAGCTTCCAGGGTAACAGGCAAACCTTCTCTGCTGGGAGAGCAAGATGGTGGCCAGCCTGCTACCCACTAGGATGCCACCATAATCCAGCCAAGACATCAAAGAGCAAAGCTTGAGCTGCATGCATGGCTAGTGTACAGGAAGAATGGGATGCCCCCAAGTTTAATCCCTGAAGTTGTGGGTGATCTCAAACATGGTGCCCACAAGGCTTCATGGTCACCACGTGGATTGTGAGCAGTTAACCACAGTGCTTCCCACAAAGCCTCTCCATGACCCATCAGCTGCCCATTCCAATGCATACCATCCTCCACAGACTTGAGAACTCTCATAGCATAGAATCCCAGACTGGTTTGGGTTGGAAAGGACCTTAAAGCTCATCCAGCTCCAAACCCCTGCCCCGGGCAGGGACCCCTTCCACTAGAGCAGGTTGCTCCAAGCCCCTGTGTCCAACCTGGCCTTGAACACTGCCAGGGATGGGGCAGCCACAGCTTCTCTGGGCACCCTGTGCCAGCGCCTCAGCACCCTCACAGGGAAGAGCTTCTGCCTCAGAGCTCATCTCAGTCTCCCCTCTGGCAGGTTCAAGCTATTCCCCTTGGCCTGTCCCTACATCCCTTGTCCAAAGCCCCTCTCCAGGTCTCCTGGAGCCCCTTTAGGCACTGGAGCTGCTCTAAGGTGTCCCCTTCAGGAGCCTTCTCTTCTCCAGCTGCCCCAGCCCAGCTCTCTCAGCCTGGCTCCAGAGCAGAGCTGCTCCAGCCCTCGCAGCAGCTCCAGGGCCTCCTCTGGCCTTGCTCCAGCAGCTCCACGTCCCTCTTGTGCTGTTCCCCAGAGCTGGATCAGGGCTGCAGGGGGGGGTCTCCCCAGAGCACAGCAGAGGGGCAGGATCCCCTCCCTGAGCTGCTGCTCACGCTCTGGGGGTGCACCCAGCACATGGGGGGTTCTGGGCTCAAGTGCACACTGAAGCCACATCATGGGCAGCTTCTCCTCACCCAGCAACCCCCAAGTCCTGCTCAAGGCTGCTCCATCCAGCCTGTGTCTGTGCTTGGAATCGCGTACAAGGCCCCTTCTCTGTTTTTAGACAGGCAGAAGCAAGACAGAGCTGCACCAAACCCTGTGTTGAGACACTACTCGAGAGAACCATGAGCCCTACAACGCTGGGGACCTGCACAAGCCAAAGTGCACGTGTATTTTATGGTGTCAGTTAATACGTTAATGATTTACCACATGCAACGTGGGGCTGTCACACCAAGCGCATCACCACTGGCCAGTGTGGTCTCCTCGGTTAAACCACATTCAGAGCTCTACACAATCTGATTTGACTCTTTTAGACTCTACCCTGATCTGCTACCGCCCTTGCAGCATCTTCCAAAACCTTTTATCCCTCTTGGAGCGCCTTCCAAAATCAGCTCTGTGCAATGGTGCTACAGGATTGGAAATGTCCATGCCTGTGCTGAGCCATGAGGAAGCCAACCAGGACTTGAAAACAAAGTAAGTATCAAATGGTGGAATGAAGTTACAGTAAAAGCTGCAGAAGCTACATTCTTCACTCCAGATGTCAGCTGATTTCCTTCCTCCATTTAAGGAGACTTCAAAGCATTTCTTGCTCTATCCTTTCAGCATAGCACACCCATCACTTCCCAGTGAGAGTGTCTCCCTTCAACAGGCTGCCCACCCAAAATGCCAGCAAATTTGGGTACCAGCAGAAGATATAAGACATCTTAAGTACCTTCTCAATCTTATTTCATACCCGCTAACCACCAATATGGGTGTTGAGGTGGAGGAATTACAATAGTATTTCATCCAAGGCTCATTTAACACGTCCATGGCATCACCCAGGCTCCTGCAGAGCCCTGAAGCATTGAAATCCTGTGCAGGCCTTTCACTGTTGCTTCCCTTCGTGGCTGATGAAGCAAAGGCATGATGATAAAACACACGAGACACACAATAGATTTATCCACCCAGCTCAGCAATTCCTTTTGATGGCTACACTGCCTGACTGCTGGTTAGACCCATCCACTGGTGCACTATCTGTGCATAGGAACCTCTTTAATATGTCATTGTGTCATTTGGGTCAGGGAGCGAGGAAAACAAACAGCTTGTAGTGATAAGGGAAGGGCTGAAAGCAGTTTAAGCTGCAGATCAAAAAAGGGGAAGCATCAGAGTTCAAATCTTTGGCTTTCTGACTGTATTATGAACGTAGACACCATGCAAAGAGGTAAAACTGCTGACAGCAGAGAGGGCAGCAAGATACAGGAGGGAAAGCTCCAGGTATCCAGCTGGGGTCAAACACAATCTGTGTGCAAATTCCAGTCACGCTGTGCTACTATAATCCAGTGCTTGAGCCAGTCCAGGTTACGATGGGCTCTCTCTTTGTGTTGTTGAATGAATGACAGAGCAAGTCCTGCAGCAACTGATGGCGCCTGCAGCACCGCTCAGCTGCTTCAAATGGCTGGAGAGCACAGAGCAACATGCATTAGACACAGCACATCCAATACAAATCCATGGAAAAAGATAGGAATAAGGCACAACTTGGAGGTATTGTTGTTCCCATGATTGCTGGAGACCATCAGCTCTTCCCTCACTTGCACAAACTGGTTGCAAACAGACCTTCTGCATGCAGAAGCCTTCAGGAATTGCGGGAAGCAAGTAGATCTCCATGGATTTTCTCCAAGTAGGGCAGCAGTTCAGAGAGGCTCAGACAGACTGAGGGGGACTTGAGCCAGAGTCGGTCCTTCCAATAGCGCTGAGGGGAGGATTCTGCACAGAACATTCAGCAAAACCCCTTCATCTTCTTCAAGAACAGGTTCTGGCTCACCAAGAGCTCCTTCTCAGAAAGGCCATGCTGTGGCAAGCAGGAAGTTAACACCAGCTCCTTACCCTCACCCAGGTTATTCCACCTCCAGCATGGTGCTGGTTACATCTACTGGGCCGGAGTGCCAAACAAGACCTAAAGCTCTGCTTAACCACACAAAGGGCAAAAGCAATTACTCACTGCACTTGAGCAATCCCCACAGCTACCAGGGGATGATGCAAGGGACAGTGATACTCTGCTTGATCCCTGCAGTCCCTCTGATGTTCTTTATTTAAGCTCTTGAAGCCATGAGGCCTGTGCCTATATGATTAAATCTATCCTGAACCCAAGAGTTTGGCTACTGTGCTCCTACAGAAAGTGAAACTGTATCTTTGTGATGGATTGATATAGCTTTAATGTGGGGAGGCAGCTGGCAGGTAAGAAGCTTAGTTCAGCACACTGGTGCCTGCGACGAGTGAAAACCCAGCAGGAACATGGTGTCCCCCTTCTGGGGTTGAAGAGGACAGTTTAATTATGCCCAACATTCATGTCAAATAACCCACAACACAGAAAGCAAATAACCAAAGCCTGACAGAGGGCACAGAGAGCAAGCACCAGACCACTTCCAGACCAGAGAGGTGTAAACTAAGGTGAACTGAAGAGACAAGGCTGAAAATGAAACCCTGAGGTCTTCTCCAGCCTGTATCACCACATCAGCTTAAAAA